CCCCCCCCAACAGAGCATGGACAGGCTCTCGCTCCTGCCACTTCCACCTAGTTCCAGCCCAATGAGCTGATGTCCTGACCCCTTCTCACGCCCCACATGCCCTTCCCAGGGTACCAAAGAGCTGCATCGTCCTGATGTTCTCTTTTCTGGGCATCCTGCCATAAATGGCAACCTTTAACCCTTTGTAAGAATGATAGAACTCAGGAGTAAAATGCTCACACAAAGGCAGCAAAGTGTCATGTGTGTAAATGCACAATTTTAAGTCAGAGAGGTGTGGGTTCATGTCCAAACTCTGCTACTTTCTACCTCTGTGACCCTGAGCTGGTTTCTTTACTGTAGGATGTTCCTATGTCATTGCCTATTTATGAAGATTAAACAAGATAATAAATGTGCCCGGCATAGACATAGATTAAGTCCCCAATAAAGATCCATGTAGATCCTGTAGAGCTCATTTGCATGCATTTTGTCTTAGTCAGTTCAAGCTGTTATAACAAATTACTGTAGGCTGGGTGGCTTATAAGCAACAGAAATTTATTTCTCATAGTCTGGATGTGGTAAGTTCAAGGTTAAGGCACTGGCACATTCAGTGTCTGGTGAGAGCCCGTTTCCCGGATCACAGGCAGCTGTCTTCTCACTGCGTCCTCATGGGTGGGAGGGGGCAAAGGGGCTCCCCAGGGTCGCTTTTATAAGGGCACCAATCCATTCATGAGAGCTCCAGTCTTATGACCTAATCGTCTCCAAAAGGACTCACTTTCTAAAACCATCACATTGGGGGATAGGTTTTAACATATGGATTTTGGCAGGACCCAAATAGTATAGAGCTTGTGTGTAAAAATTACTCTCAAATCTCCTTTTCTTTTCCTCTCTGTCCCTTTCTGTAGAGAACATCACCACTCTGAAGCCGGAGACTACGCCCAAAGAGCTTAGCAGGTGGGTGAGAAAGGGCAGGCCCTGTTGAGGAGTATTGAGGATTTTGGAGAAAGGGTCTTCTTGGCCTGAATATGATGACTGGTGTGAATGGACCATGGCCAGGAGATTGGGGCAGAAGAGAGAGGCTCAGAATGGAGGCGCGAGGTTGAAGCCCAGAGGTGGGAGAGCTCCTGCAGGAATGGGGAGGCCCCAGGGCATTTTGTGGCTGGTCAGCACCAACACTGGACGGGGCAGCTGGAGTGTCCTCATTTCTCTTCCTTGCTTTCCCCAGCGTCAGCACAGCAGCCACAGCTGTTTTCAGCGCCATTGGTACCATGGCCCTCCTTTTGCTTCTTGTGGGTCTCTTGTCCGTGACCCTGAAGAAATGGAGGCACGAGAGTGAGTTGAATGAGTTGGCCCTGGAACTGGCAATGAGAAAGGAGGGGGACTGGGGCTGGAGATGGGGGTGTCTTTCCTGTGGGGCAGCTTTGGGAAGGGGGAAGAGTAGGTAAGCTATGGGGTCTATGCTCTGGACTTGCCATGGACTCTGCAGGGTACAATAAGATTTATTTATGATACAAATTCCTTATGCAGAAAGCCATATATAAGCAATCTACACATTCCCTTATTTTTTATATGCATCAACTGAAAGAAATATTGATGCCAAATAATTTCATCTAATAATAATCAATATTATAAAGTATACCAGTACGCCCCCTGTCTCTTCCAGGGCATTTAGCTCAGTCTCAGAGGCACAATGGGTTGAACAGAGTGGGTTTTGAATTTTAAAGCTCAACCCTAAGTCCAACAATCGATCAAGTAAAGATGGTTACTGCCCCAACTCAGGCTGACTCTGAGTTTATTAATTTTTCTAGGACTTTTTAAGAAGCAACTGAGGCATCAGACCAACTTTCTCCACAAATCCTCGGTAAGGAAAGAGTTGAGTCATACTTAAAGAGGCTCCCAGTCATCTCCACCATGCTCTTTCCTCGATGGACCCCATACAGGGGGTGGTGGGGTGAGGCAGAGAAGGGCTCTAACAGGAATGTTTTTGAAAATCGAGCGGGGTCCAGGGCTTGCTCAGCAAGAAGCCAGTGTTCCACTCGCTGTCCCATAGGGAGCCCAGTAGTGGGCTTTGTCTCTGCAAGTCTTTTGTGCCCCCCACCTGACTCTAACAGGGGTCCTGTCTCTAAAGGAGTTTTCCTGCCACGCTGATGCTGTGTATTCCAACGTGATCAACCTGGCCCCCTGGAAAGAGGACGACTTCGCTGTCTATGCCAACATGCCCTGCTTTGATCGTACCAGGAGGGCATCGCCAGACCAAGTGGAATACGCCTCCATTGTGTTCCACTGATGGGGGGCCGATGAGATGCTTCAGCGTGGGGTCAGACCTGTGCCCCGGCTGGATCCTGACACAGCTTTTGCTTTAGATGTGTGCGTGTGTGTGTGTGTGTGTGTGTTAAAAAATGCATCAAATATATTCTGATGGAGGTAAATGTGTATTTCTTCTTATTTATTGGAAGCAAAGTATAATTATAGGGGAAAAGAGTGACTTAAAAGACAAGGGACATGCTCTTGCTGACCAGCCACAGCCCTGCCTTCCTGAGCCAGACTGGCCAACACAGGAGCCCTTTCCAGCTCTTGTTCCCCCTTGAGGCTAGAGCTGAGGGGGGAGTTCATTCTGTTTGGGGCCCAGCTTCTGGATTCCTCCTCTCCTGTTCTTCCCTGCCATGAATTAGCACCCTGCAGGAGTTAATCATGAGTCACACTCATGTCTGTGGAGACATGAATGGCTAACTACCTTGGGTGTCTGGACAATATACTAGGATGGGGGGCTGCTTTTACTGGGGGAGTGAGATTGATGAGCTCCCACAGAGAATGAGCTCCCACCTGGGACAGGAGCTGGGGAAGGAGCACCTAGTAGAAGTGGGCTACGTGCCACCACTGACCAGGGACAGCTCCCGTGGCAACTTTGGAAGAGGTCTGAACTTTGCAATTGATTCCCCCCTTCCCTTCATTTAAAAACATTTATTAAACACCACCGTGATCTAGATTCTGGGACCACGGCAGCGAACCCAACAGCCAAATCCGTGTCCTCATGTCGCTTACTGTCCAGGAGGGGAAGACAGACAATGAACAAATAAACGGGCAAATGCACAGGCCGCAAGTGGCAGCATGTGCCCAGGAGAACAGGAAAGCAAGTCCCTGCAGGTGGGGCCCACCGGGTGCGAGTGAGTTGCTATTAGATGGCCAGGGAAGACCTCGCTGACACTGACCAGAAGTGAGAGAGCGAGACCTGAGGATAAACGGGGAAGAGCATTCAGGAAGAAGGAGCGGCAAGTGCAAAGGCCCTGAGGTGGAGTGAGCTTTACATGGTCCAAGAACAGCGAGGAGGTGAGTGTGTCTAGAGTGGAGGGGGCAGCGTAGGAAGATGGGATCTGTGCAGCAGATCAGCTCCAGAGTTTGGGAACCAGTGAGCCAAGGCAGTGTTTCCCGCAGCATTGTCTGCGGAACATTAGTACAGAGGCCCCTGGCCCTTTGGGGACTGTGCCTTTGCCTGTACCACTCTCTGCACTCCTGTCACTCTCGCCTTTGAATCTCCAGATTTCTCTCTCACTTATTGAAGCCAAATTCCTGATCTCCACTCCACCCTACTCCTGTCATCACCCAAGGCGACTTCAGTGGCAACATAGACAGACAACCCTCCCTTCGTCTGGACTCCAAGTTCCCCAAAGTGCATTGTGGGAGATGTTAATGAGAGTTGGGATAGAGAGATTAAATGAGAGCTATGACCAAATAAGCTTGAGAAATAATTAACAAGCAAGAGTAGTGGAGAAAAAAGAAACCTTCCACTTAAAACCAGAGCTGATGGAAGCCACTACCAACAAGGAAACACCCTATAGATCCATCCACTTAGAGGGACTGGAGAGGGGAGGGGAGGGTGAGAAGGAAATACGTTAATTTCCAAGCCTCTGCCACCTTCTCTGTGTTGACAAAGGGCACATCCCAGTGCCGAGAGCGGATGGTGATCACGTGCCCTGGTTTGCTGGGGACTTTCCTGGTGCACGCCTGTTGTCTCAGCAAAATCATTATTAGGTCCCCTTTCACTCTCGAAAGTGTCATAGCTTGAATGATAAATTATGTGGCCACCTATTAAGAAGCCTTTGAAAGTGCAAAAGTAGGTCCAAGAACAAATAAGGAAGGAAAGCGAAGTTGTTTCCCACAATAAAGTGAGGAGAAGGGAGCTGGGTGGGAGAGGAAGATCTGGAAGAATCAAGAGTTAGGGAGATAAAGAGAAAAGTTTGGAAGGAAAAGGGGCTAAAATCACAGAAAATACCTCCTATAAACCTCGGTGATGCCGGTGCAGGTATTTAGGGGAAGGGAAATCTTGCAAAGGGGACTGAAATCACATCTTGGTCAGCATAGAGCAGAAATAAGGGGGAAGTGGTGAGAGGAGCAATATGAGTGAGTTGGACAATTGGGGCGGGTGGGGCTGAACTCAGAGCCAGAAGTGACTCCAAGAGCACAAGCCATCTGGAAATTCTCAGAAGCTCCAGGGAGGGCGCCAGAGTTTCCAAATAACCTGCAGCCGGGAGACTGAGCCAACTGTGCTTCAATCTTAATGGACAGGTTGACCTCAGCATAAATCTGGGTTGTAAAATTTAAACAGGTTTCCTTCTCTCAAGAGTGCTCAGAGCCTTCAACATGTAATGCACTTATTATTCTTTAAACTCCCTTTTATTTCCCCACAGAGCATTGCACAGGACAGGAAGTATTCTTTATAACTAACACCCAGTGGGAAGAGCTTGCTTAAGGGCACCTGGCCAAGTGGCACTGTCACAGGGGGACCCCAGTAACCAGGCTCACTCTGCTTCTTCCAAGGGAGGGTGCAGAGTAGCCATTAGGCTTTCATGTCCGCAAATGGGGTGGCTAGGCCCAGCCTGAAGCCAGGACCCCCCTCTATCTGCTTTGATTTGTGCCCAACAGCCCCCAATTCTTAGGGAGGTAGCAAAAGACATCTCTCTAGGGCAGCAGCTCTAAGCTGGGGGCAATTTTGCTCCCCCTCCCAAGAGACATTTGAAAATATCTGTGATGTCTTTGATTGTCACAACAGGGCGGGGCTACTGGCATCTAGTGGGTAGAGGCCAGAGATGCAGTTAAACATTCTGCAATGCTCTGGACAGCCCCACCCTCACAGAATTACCCTGCATACAATTGGAAGTGTTGCTGTTGAGAAGCCCCACCCTCGGGTCTTCCTGGAGCTCCTGGGAGCTGTCCTGGTGCTGGCTCCTATGAATATCTAGATGTTTCCCAGGCTCTATGTGCCTCAAACTGTGGACCCATGGTGACTCTGACAGCAGTAAAGTGAGCACTACAGTGATTAAGAAATCTCAGCCCTAGAAGAAGGGATGACCAACCATCCTGATTTGTCTGAGACTGTCCCAGTTTCTACTGAGAGTTCTAGGTTCCAGGGAACCCTCTGGTCTGGGCTGTTAGCTTCTGTGGTTTTGGAGCAAGCAGCTGCCCTTCTCGGTGAGGATAAGAGAATTCTGGACATTTCCAGCTGAAGCCTGGAGGAAAGTGAGTTGTATGCTCCCAGGAGGCCCAGGTCTTGGGCACTAAGACAAATTCTCCCAGCTCATCCTCAGGTGTCCACATCCCTAGCCGTGTGGGGGTAGCTGTCTTCCTCTCCTTGCCAACCACCTGCAGCTCCTGCTTGCATCACTCTCAGGGCCTTTTGCGGAAGGAATGAACAAGTGCTGCTCTTCCAGAAGATTCTTAGGAAATCCTGTTAAATGGGCTGAGGTGCTTCTCGACATTTGGCCACATGGCAGTCATTTCTCCTGGGAAAGCACGATTCCGCAAGGCTCTGGGCATCCCCAAAGAAAAGGTGTGTGTTTCAACAAAGGCAGGGGTTTGGAACATGAAAGGCTTTCCCAAGTCCTGAGAGAAATTTCTGTGCGACTCACATGAGGCTCACTTGTTCTCTTAACATCTCTATCAGAGGACAGAAAAGGCTAGACTCTCCGTGCCCAGCAGGAGGAGAGAATTACCAGCTCATGGTGATAAGAAAAAGCAGCCTGCCTTTTTGGTTTTCTAATTTTAAATCCTGTACAGACAGTGCATCCCTTCAACGCCTGCTCCCAGGGCCGCCTGCCCACCCTCCCGTCAGCTGTCAGTCTTGGCCCTTGACTGACGGTGTGGAACCTTTGTCAAGTTAATGAATTTCCCTAAGCCCAGGTTTTCTCATTGTAAAACCAAAATTATGCTGAGAACTTCACAGATAGGTAGTCTAATGATGTTAAGAATATTCTGCAAACTATGCTCTAGAAGATGCAAAGAATCATTATCAACTGATT